TCAATGCCTCCCGAATGGACGAGGACTGGCGTCGACGGCGCAGAACCAAGCACAGCAACTTCTGGAGCAATCCCGCTCGCGCCAAAAACGGATCTGTACTCCAACAATCCGCTACTTCCATGCGCCGTGTGCGCACGTCAAGTAGGCTCCAACAGGTACGCCATGCATCTGTCCAAGTGCCTGAATGGAGGTAGTGGCAAGGCGAGCCAAAGGAGAAAGGTGGCGCTGGGAGCGAGTGTGAAAGAGTCGGCTGCCAGCATCAAGCAGGCCAAGAAAGTGGCTAGCGCTCTGGAAGCTAGAAAGAGGGCGGGCGGACTAGGCAGCGCTTCGGGCACCCCTGCGCCCGGTATTAGCGACAATGAGAGCGAGCGGACTGGCGGCGGCGGCGGCGGTGAGTGTGGTGTGGGAGCCACGCTCGCTAGAAGAGGATGGCTCACGTAGAGCTTTGATGTCGATGTTTGGGAAATGACAGCTTGGCTGAATGGAAATGGCAAAAGAGGTGCAAGCCCGAACGGCGCAGCAAGTTCCAAGAAGGCTAGAACAAGCAGCACGCGTGAGTGTTGAGCGAAGCCGAGTTTGCCTGGAGCCTCATCCTCATTCTTCACGACTGACCCATCATCCGTGCCCGCTTCAGCCCCGCTCAATGGCTCGAATGGTGTGGGCATGTCGAGAGTGAGTCAAAGCTGGGACTCGAGCAGCTGCTTCGATCCCAATCGCTCACGGGGTGAGAATCTCTCGCTCTCTCCTCTCCTTGCAGACCTCTTCCAGTAATCACCTTTCTGCAACACCCATCTCTGGCTCTCCGCTCAACCCCAAAAAGTATCAAAAGAATGTCCTTTCTGGATCGGGTGCTGATGGAGCATTTGCCAAGGGCTCTTCGCATGGCAAGGCTGCGAGCGGTAAGCTCAAAGCTGCCAAGAAGGATTCTGCTAGTTTGCCTAAATCTTCTTCTCATCAGGCGTCTGTTGGATCTTCCCATTCTCTTCTCTCTCGTGGCACGAGCAAATCT